TTTTTTATATCATCCATGCAAGACCCTGTAAGCTAGCTAATCTCAGCGAGATGTCGTAGGGACTAAAATATTTGGTCGGACGTCCACTACAGTTTATACATGTACGTGGTGTAACAGCTAGAAATAATAATAATAAAAAGGAGAAAAAGGGGCAAGGATTTGAACTTTGGTCCCTGAATCATTGCATGGTCTTGTGCTATATCAACTGAGCTATTCACAGCTAAGCCATCAAACATGTCTGACTGTCACCATTTAATTCCTCCTTCCCAAAAGACTTTGCCCTTCATTAAACTTGGTCAAAGACACCAACCCACACATTTCCCTGGTAGGTCTTTTACCAGTCATTTTCAGGACATTGCAAGGCACCATATGTAACAAGAAAGGAGAAAAATGCAATGGACTAGACCAGGATATGGATTAACCCCCTCCCAATTCACTAGCCAGGTGCTTTACTAACTGAGCTATCTGCATGACCACTGTCAAACCTTTCTGACTGCCACATTGGCATAGCCATGAAATTTGTCCAAGAACAGAGCTTTACAATCTTGAAAATGGAACTTGCTCCTAAAATGTACTAGACACATTTACATGTATCTATCGCACAGGACATGTATGGATACACTTTCTGAAGAATGGGTGGTACTGGTAATAAATGCACACAAAATAAAAATCTGTTGTTTGTGCATGTATTGACTTAATTAATCCTAAAGTATATATACATGAATATATTAGAGACATATAAGAGACTCTTATATGTCTCTTAATTTATATAACCAGAAAATAAAGATTAAATTTTTATACCTCAAAAAATGTAAAAAGTTCCAATGATAAACCTTTTCAGCACCTGTGGAGCCCCAGACCAGAGATAAAAATTACACAACTTAATTTTGTCACATTTACTTCATACAGTCAGTTCTGGTCAATTATAATAAATAGATTGATATTTTTGCTTTTTAATTTAAAATTCCACTAAAAAGCATAATAATTAATCAGGGCTCTGTTGGGTTCTGTTGGTATGCTTCTATAATAATTTACAGCTTACCAGGTAATAAGATCAGTCTGTTGTATTTGTAGGTTACTTTCGACTGTGTTTGTTTGGAGCCAGTCTTCCCTTCTTCACTGAGCCAGGATGGTTTTTAGCTCTCTATGGAACTTCTGTAGCCCTTGATGGTAAGCTAGTGTTTTTTTTAGGAAATATTTTGTTGGACATAATCATTATTTTATTCTTTTCCAATTATTTTAAAGATACACTAATCTGAAAATCATATGTTTCTCTTCATTATTAAAGAAGTGGTTGTTTACTAGAAGAACAAATTAAGACAAAACAAATTTTTCCCTTTGTCCTATAGGATTTGATGGATATTTTGCAAGGAAGCTGAATCAGACATCAAGATTTGGAGCATGGGTAAATATAAATTTTATTTAAATGTAACAAATGCAAAATTGTAAAGTTCAATGAATGTGAAATAAAAGAATAAATTTCTTCATTGATTGAAGTAAATAAATGCCAAAAATCTAAGCATGAAAGTTACTTTAATTTTTAGAAAACAGAATTTTTTTTCATTTACATCTTCTGATTTTTGTTTTTTTATTATCAGTTTGATGTTGTCATTGATTTAATCAGCAGAGGTGGATTATGGTGCCTGCTTTACAAGGTAGCTAACTCACAAATTCTTATAATAAAAGCTGGTGATTCTTCTACTTTTTTAAAATATAAAATCCACCACTTTCTTAGAAAGTTACAGTGTTTTTAAATGTATTTTAGCAAAAATGATTATATATAGCAAATTTAATGCCTGTATCATAGACAATTATTTCATTGATCTCATACAGGAAATTGATGAATAATGAACTCCCGTGGTACATGTATATATGTATATATAAATTATTGATATAATATAAATACTGTTATTACTTATGGAAAGCAATTTCACCATCTTCAGTGATTTGCTTTAATTGATCTTGAATTACATTTGAACTACTGTACATGTAATACATTGTACAAAATATAATTTACTTTAATTCTTGTAAAGTTGTAAATGATTGTTTTGAATACTTATTGGGGTGTTATCATATATTGAAATTTTGTACAGTATGGGTATTTTATGATACTTGTGGAATGGTTAACATTTACTGCGACCCACACCAGAGGAGCTAACTGGAAAATTCCAGATGAAGAATTTCCTCATCTCTGCAAATTAGTTATGGCAAAAGGTAATCTCCTCTTTATTGATTGTATATATGTATGTATGTGTATATATTAAATGCATTATCAAACAGCACTATAAAATGAGGCAAGGAACATTACTGTTAGCTACTTTCATGTGTTGAAATCGAATAGATTGTGGTAATTGTACTTATGCAGTAAAACAGACCAAGGACTTTATGAGCCATTTCCAGTTGTTACCGTAATGGTTGAAAATTGGAAAAGAATAAAGCAAATACATGTTTATATTTCAGGTTTTAAAACTCCTTTAGGATTTATAGCTATATCAGGTGTACATGGTCTACCTATAGCTTTATACTGTCAGCAGTTGGGCTTATTTCAGTTGTTTCCTGTTCTGACTCCGACAGTTTTATACCCAGTCATCATCTTCCTTATTATCGGGAGAATCTTAGCATTTAGAGTTGAGGTGAGCTCCAGTATAAGGCTATTTATACCCGCACTTTCTAAAGAAAGTTCGGGTATATTGTTGTTACTCATGTCCGTCCGTCCGTCCGTCCGTCCGTCTGTCACACTTTTCTTCCCTGAACTCCTCCTACATTTTACACAGTAGCTTAATCATCTTTTAAGAGATGGTTGGTGGTGTTATGTAGATGTGCAGTAAGGTTTCGGAATTTTGATTTTGCCCCTGGGGGTCGAAAAATGACGTTTTTTGTGCAAAAAGTCCCGTCTTCCCTGAACTCCTTCTACATTTTACTCAGCAGCCAAATCATCTTTTGAGGGATGATTGGTGGTGTCATGTAGATGTGCAGTAAGGTTTCGGAATTTTGATTTTGCCCCGGGGGGTCAAATGGGGGTCAAAAAATGACGTTTTTTATGCAAACAGCCCCATCTTCCCTGAACTCCTCTTACATTTTACTTAGCAGCCTAATCATCTTTTGTGGGATGCTTAGTGGTGTCATGTAGATGTGCAGTAAGGTTTCGGAATTTTGATTTTGTCCGGGGGGGTCAAATGGGGGTCGAAAAATGACGTTTTTTGTGCAAAAAGTTCCGTCTTCCCTGAACTCCTTCCACATTTTACTCAGCAGCCTAATCACCTTTTGGGGGATGATTGGTGGTGTCATGTAGATGTGCAGTAAGGTTTCGGAATTTTGATTTTGCCCTGGGGGGTCAAATGGGGGTCGAAAAATGATGTTTTTTGTGCAAAAAGTCTCGTCTTCCCTGAACTCCTTCTACATTTTACTCAGCAGCCAAATCACCTTTTGGGGGATGGTTGGTGGTGTCATGTAGATGTGCAGTAAGGTTTCGGAATTTTAATTTTGCCCCGGGGGTCAAATGGGGGGTGGAAAAATGATGTTTTTTATGTAAAAAGCCCCATCTTCCCTGAACTCCTCTTACATTTTACTTAGCAGCCTAATCATCTTTTGTGGGATGATTAGTTGTGTCATGTAGATGTGCAGTAAGGTTTCGGAATTTTGATTTTGCCCTGGGGGGTCAAATGGGGGTCGAAAAATGACATTTTTTGTGCAAAAAGTCCCGTCTTCCCTGAAATCCTTCTACATTTTACTCAGCAGCCAAATCACCTTTTAGGGGATGGTTGGTGGTGTCAGGTAGATGTGCAGTAAGGTTTTGGAATTTTGATTTTGCCCCGGGGGGTCAAATGGGGGTCGAAAAATAACGTTTTTCATACAAAGAGCCCTGTTTTCCCTGAACTCCTCTTACATTTTACTCAGCAGCCTAATCATCTTTTGGGAGATGGTTGGTGGGGTCATGTAGATATGCAGTAAGATTTTGGAATTTAGATTTTGCCCCGGGGGGTCAAATGTGGGTCGGAAAATGATGTTTTTTTTGTGCAAAAAGCCCTGTCTTCCTTGAAGTCTTCCTTAATGTTACTCAGAAGCCTAATCATCTTTTAGGAGAGTTAAATATTTTGAAAATTATGTAAAACATCAACGTCAAGGGGTAACAAGATGTGTTTGTGAAATACTATGTGCCCGGCGTCAACAAAGTTCAAAAAGCTATTTTTAGCATATTGGTCACAGTCAAGTCACAAGGTCATTGACCTTGGTGTTGTTTGTAAGAACTTAATTAGTGGGGTATGCATACTAAATATGAAGTCCCTATCTCCTATGGTTCAAAAGTTATGGCAAAAAGTAGAAAAAGCTATTTTTAGTATAAAGGTCACAGTTAAGGTCACATGGTCATTGACCTTGGTGTTGTTTGAAAGAACTTTATTAGTGGAGTATGCATACTAAATATGAAGTCCATATCTCTTATGGTTCAAAAGTTATGGCAAAAAGTGGAAAAAGCTATTTTTAGCATATAGGTCACAGTCAAGGTCACAAGGTCATTGACCTTCATGTCATTTGAAGGAACTTTATCAGTGCAGTATGCATACCAAATATGAAGTCTCTATCTCCTATGGTTCAAAGGTTATGGCAAAAAGTGGAAAAAGCTATTTTTAGTATAAAGGTCACAGTCAAGGTCACATGGTCATTGACCTTGGTGTTGTTTGAAAGAACCTTTTTAGTGGAGTATGCATACCAAATATGAAGTCCCTATCTCCTATGGTTCAAAAGTTATAACAAACAGTTGAAAAACCTATTTTTAGCATATAGGTCACAGTCAAGGGCACGAGGTCATTGACCCTGATGTCATTTGAAAGAACTTTATTAGAGGAATATGCATACTAATTATGAAGTCTCTATTTCTTATGGTTCAAAAGTTATGACAAACAGTTGAAAAACCTATTTTTAGCATATAAGTCACAGTCAAGGTCACAAGGTCATTGACCTTGATGTCATTTGAAAGAACTTTATAAGAGGAGTATGCATACCAAATATGAAGTCTCTATCTCTTACGGTTCAAAAGTTTTGGCCAAGGTTAAACTTGACAACAGACAAACTGACAAACAGATAAACAGACAAACAGACAGGACAAAAACAATATGCGCCCCGAAAAAATTCGGGCGCATAAAAAAACATCGCATGCTGGGAAACACCTTGAATTCTTATGAGTAATTTATGTACATGTCAAATGTGAGAGTCATATCTCATCTCAATCAAAAGTTATAACCGAATGCAACATTTTTGAAAAGTAGGTTAGGCTTGATCGCTTCAAGGTCAAGGTCACAGTGTAAAAGTCATGATTTATTTGAAAAGGTCTTATCACAGGTAATAATAAACATGCATTATGATATGAATGCCCTAACTTTTCTCTTTCAAAATTAAGATTTTATAACAATTTAATTTTTTTTCAAGTTGGTCAAACTTCTAGGTCACATGTAAACCCCCCCCCCCCCCCCCCCAAAAAAAAAACCATGCCATTCTCACAGGTAAATATACTAATACATAAGTTTAATATGAATGTCTCTTCTCATTCAGTAGATATGACCGTGATAACCAAGGTTAAATTTTTTGAGACAGATGGACTGAGTCTGACATACAAATGTACATATTTCTATATGAATTGGGTAAAATTGGCCCAGTGGTTCTAGAGAAGTTAAAAATGTAAAAAGTTTTCAGACAAACAGATGGACAACACGTCACGACAGACATTATATGCTAAGGAAACCAAAAAAGCTCAAATGAGTGTTTTGAAAGGGTTACAATATGGTTGGAGTATTTGAAAAGCTGTTTTTTTCCTGCAGAGATATGCATGACCAACATATTTATGTTTTATATTTTCTTGAGTAATTTGTTTGTTTGTTGTGAATACATCTTCCCTCATATGGAGACACCACCAAATAATAATGAAGATAAGATGTGTTTGTGAAACACTGATGTCCCAGTATGGAAGCCTATGGCGAAGGTTGAAGTTTCTCAAATATATGTCAAACTCAAAGGTCAAGGTCAAAGGGTTCAAATTGTTAGTATCAGAAGAAAGTCTTGTCACAAGGAATGCACATGTTAAATAAAGAAATCTCTAGTAATTCCTGTTCAAAAGTTAATTGCCAAGGTTAATTTTTTTTTTTAAGTGGTTCAAACTCTAGGGTCAAGGTCAAACATATTTATACCTGTTGACAGTTCAAAATGAATACAATATGTCATGATAAGTATGAAAGCCCTAGCACCTACTGATCAAAATTTAGGCAGAGTTTAAAGTTTGGTATTTTTCTTGTAAAAATGTGTATCCCATGTCAAGCGATCAGAGGTAAAAATTAATGGTACCCAAATAAAAGGTCTTCTTAAATTGTCACAAGAAATAAACCTATAAAATGTGGAAGCTATATGTATGGTTCATTCTACCTATTCCCACTTTTTGAAAATCATGTAGGAAAAGGTAAGATTTTATGTGGGAATAGGTGGAATTTTGTGTAAACAAAACATTAACTACCGGTATATGTTCTTAAATTTAGGTTTTAAGTTGCTTTTCCTTGTAAGATCTTTTTATTATTTCCAAAATCCGAAATAAATCATATTTTCTCATAGATTTATTCATTATTTTCTGTCTTAAAATGTACAAAATACAGGTAAATTTAAACATCTATTGTTAATTGCAAGTGGGAATAGGTGGAATTGAGTTTTTTAAAAAGTGGGAATAGCTAGAAGACACCATATGTATAGCCCATCCCACTTAAAACTTATTGGCAAGCTAGCTAGGATTTAATTTTTGCAGACTTATAGACAGACATACTATAAACACAAGAAACAAAATATGTATAATAATTAGTCAAATGGAAAAAAATATACTATTTAACTGGAATCACAAAATAGATTGTTATTTCAGGGACAGGAAGTGGGTAGGAAGATTGGAATCCCCCCTCCCCCCCCCCCATCTGGCATTTGCTTTGTTATTTAAACAAGACTATATACTGTAGCAAGTAAAAAATGACTCTTGACATCCTCTCCCTATAAACTTAATTAGAAAACATTGACCTCACTATCATTGTTTTTTTATTTGTTTATTTGTTTTCATTTTTTTTCTCCTGCTTGTCACGAAATTCTGGGCTGGAATATTTTGACTGAGATGTGAACCCCCCTCCCTACTCCCGAAAAAAATTCTGGATCCGCACCAGTATTGGCAGTAACTGAATGTCACATCGACAACGGGAGATAACTTCACAATATGAAATTCGTCTAGTGTGGCATGCGATGATCTTTGGCCCTTTTTAAACTTTAACCTAATCGTTTGGGTGTATTTTACTCCCCACTATACTAAAACTTCTACTTACCGACTCCCTGTGTCTCGTAAACTTCATGAAATATAAATCCAATTATAACACAAAATGAATTAATCCAATGCACACCAGACTGCACCCATGTGCCATTTTGGCGAACTTTCGTGTATCAGATGAAGTGGGAATCGGCCGAGGTGTGCCAAATGGTGTTTAATCTATAAATATCATAATGGGTGACGCAACGTGATGTAATGTAGAAATTTACATGTTCACATGTATAGTACAAGAACAAATTTTAAATTAATTCATTACAAACGATATTAAATTTTAACAAACCTTTTCCGTCTAGCCTATTCCAAAAAGTATGTGCTGTGTGATTGTGGTGTCGAAGGGGGGTGGGGGGGGGTAGTAAATTTAAAAAGGTCCTATTATGAGCAAAACATATATCAAAATCTAATTTCAGACGCGGATCCAGAATTTTTTTCCGGGGGGGGGGGGGGGGGGGGGGGGGGGGGTCCACCTCAGTCAAAAAAAAATCCTATCCCAGAAATTGACAATCCAAAAAAAAAAAAACCTAAAGTAAATCTCACCCAAACGTCAAAAACCTATATCGTGGAGGTGGGGTGGGGGTAGTGGTGACTTCTATTGCCGCAAATTTAACTTTTCATACCTATTTTACACATATTCGTGTTTACCGGGGGGGGGGGGGGGGGATCTGCATTTTCCAAGGGGGGTCCATTGTAACTTTTTCCTTGTTTTAGTATATACATTTTTTAACCTTGTAAATTCCAGGGGGGGGGGGGGGGTCCTGACCCCCCCCCCCCCCCCCCGACAGATCCGTGCATGAATTTACATCATTAATAAAATTCAGACTGGTATATAATGAATTAAGCATGTATAAAATAAATATTAGAGGTTCTGAGTTATAGGTCACAGGGTCTGCGAATTTCATAATCAATTTGATTAATACATGTAAATTATAGAATTATTTTGACTATTTCCTTGGAAAGCCGCCCAATATGTAGGAGCGTGTATTTAGAGGCAAACACCTTAGTGCGGGTATTACTGTCTCATGACAGCATCTAGTTTTAACTTATTTTAAATCAATCTTTGCATAGGATAACCCATGAAAGCAACAATATTTAAAACTTGCTTATTTCCAATGGGGTCCTAAGATGTTTAATTACTAGTATATAGATTGATTGGAAGTGGGCTTTGCTTAATTAATGAAATACTCTGTTTGTTTATAATTTATAATTGAAAATGAATAAATAGTTGAAACGTTGCAGAAAAAATAAATAATTCATGAGAGTTCACTTTATGAGTGAAAACAAATTTTATAGCAGCTTCATATGTTTTTTTTAAACATTTTTTCAGATCTTTTATATACAGAGCCACATAAAAGGTTTACTTTTGGAGGAAGAAAATTCCTAGAAAAAAAGACTTGGATCACAATTGTGTACAAGTTAGTTGTTTTGCCATTGACAATCATTTAAGTCATATATAAAATTACAAGTACGAGGGTTGATCCAAAAGTAATGTCACAACTTTGATAATATTGCTATAAATAGACGTAAAGCAACAAAATTATACATGATGAAAGCTGTATTTATTTCAAATCAGACCTGAAAAATTCAAAGAAATATGATGTATACTTTTCAAAATATCAGATTTTAAACAGTGCGCGTTTATGTTAGTCGCCGCACCTAAATATAACGTACGTCATATGACAGATTCATACTGTCATACTTTTGAGTGTTTCCCCTTTGTTTCATTAAAAAAATATTCGTGATTCGCAAACACTTTCACCAATTTCACTTTCTTTAAGAATTCTTGGTATCATTATTCACTTACCGTTTTCATAAATAAGCCCTCTGTCAAAATTTTTTGAACAGTAGTATAATACAAACTTAAAAATTCACATTTCACTCTATACGTCTGTCTTTTTTGACAACGTCAGACACCATTGAACGTTTATGTTCGATCTCCTTTCTTTCGGTCTTCTTGTCCTCTGCTTATCATTCAATGACCAATCATCCGCCCAAAATTGCTGAAACCATCTACATGTATAAAGATGTCTCTTATTTACCTTCTTTATTCTGTAAGTCTGATTGATTAAGGAAAATGTCGCTAGTGATGATTCATATATTTTGAAGCAAAAATACATTACAACTCGTAGAGCCTTTTTCCCAATTTTGACAATTCCTTTGTACAACAGAGTTAACAAGAATGTTTATGATCACAAATACCAATGCCGTCATTTAATTTTCAATTAAAGACTAGAAAATAACGAGAATTGTGTCTTTAAAATATTTGGGAAATTAGGTGCTTTTTCAGAATCTTTTTAATGTGTTCGTCTTTTTCATTATAAGAAAAAATACACTTTAAAATGTGACGTTCCGTTGTGACGCAGCAACAACCCCTATGCTCTATGTTTTAAACATCTATAAAATAAATTCAAATAAACATTATTAAATGAAAATTTCAATGTTGATTAGATTTATATATGTGTATCTATTGGTATTTCATATTTGAAATTTTGACGCCAAATATAAAAGATATGGACACTGTGACATTACTTATGGATCATCCCTCATATATTTATTTTCCCCCATAAATTAAGTATTAAAAGAAATCCTTTTTTACTTTAATGAGCTCAACCAAATATTGTTTTACTGGTACATGCAATATATTTTTTCCATTTTTAAATTTATATTGTATATGGTTTGTGAATACATTTACAATTTTTACAATAGCAGGGTATTATATGATAATTTCATTTTTGGACTTAAGGGTTTATTCAATTTTGGGATTCATTGTTTTAATATTTTATACGAACACATATATTATATTCATTTATTATATTTTTTGTACTTATTCCATTACTTGTATGTTCATATGTTATGAAAACTAACCAAAGAATTGTTACATTATATTTATAGACAATCATTGTATTTTTTGACTGGTATATTGTTAATGCATTCTCTTCAATGAGTGTGCACAAGTGCAGATTTTACATTAAGTTAACTGATATTACAGGATAAACCCCACTTGAATATATAAAAAAAGAAAATCCATGTTGCTTTGAATGATAACAGCCTATCTTTTCTGGGAATATACCTGGTAGCAAGATTCCTTAATGAAAAGTAATTTCTGGTGATTTCACCTTATGTTAAATTAAAACAAAAATGACTTACAAATTAAGGATAACAGAATGTCATAATTATACATGTATGTATGTAATTTTTTGAAACATTAACAATATACAAGTTCAAACAGAGTCAGTCCTCCCTGTGAAGCAAACTATGTTTTTCAAAGCACAGTTTGAATATATGACATTTAACCCATACCTGTGATTTAGATGTATAATCAGATGTGAGACAATCAAACACATGCATTACCAGTACACTTACTTTTTACAAATTTTTATAATTTTTTTTAGCTTGACACGTTACCGGGTACTTTTTACAATTTTTATATATATATGAAAATTATCTGTGATTATGATACATGTATTTATATTGATATTCTCCAATGCTCAAACATTCCCAAAGTTAAATGTTTTTTTGATTACTGTAAAAGCACAAATATTCGTGGGGGATTAAATTTCGTTTATTTCTTTGTTAACAATATTCAACGAAATTAAATCCCACATGAAATTTTATATGACTATATATTGAATAGGTTTAGTTTTAAAACAACGAAATTAAATGCCCACGAAAATATTTTTGATGACAAAACAACAAAATTTTCTGCCCACGAAAATTTGTGTTTCTACAGTATATTATAAGTGTTTGAATGTTGATTTGAATGTTGATCTGTATTATTGACTGATCTCTTATATCTGGACATGTTTCTTATTTAAAAACACTTACAAAGAGAATTAGCATTCTAACTGTAATAATTCTACCGTATAAGCAGAATTTTTAGCGAGGGTTTAATTTTGGCATTATTAGCGAGGGTGCCAAAATCACTAAAATTGAGTATCACTAAAAGTTAATTGCACTTAATTTGTAAAAGCTTCTTTAGTGGGCTTTTTAAAATCGCTAAAATTAAGTGTTGCTAAAAATAAAATACCAATTTTTAAGGACAAATCGCTAAATTTATGTCTCGCAAAAATTTCCACTTATACGGTATATCATTCCAAAAACAACATGTCACTTTGTTTACTGGAGTATGATAAAGTTTCAAATGCTGATCACCATATTTCTCACTGATTGGATGTTTGATTTCAATGAAGCCAATATTACTTTGCACATATATGAACAGAGGAGCCAGCAGTATGGTTTGACTTCTTCTCACTAGAGAAGTGGATAGGCTTTCTCCTGGATGTAGGCGAAAGCCTGTCCACCTCTCTGAAGAGAATATGTTTGACTGACTATGTGTTGCTGCTTATTACATATGTCCTATTCACAAACAATTATTCAATGCAATTGGCCTGTTTCAGAATATTGCTAGATTCTTTGTGCCATAAGCAAAGTAATAGTTATCTCATTGAAATCAAACATCAAATTGATGAGAAATATGGTGATTAACATTTGAAACTTTAGCATGACCCATCAAACAGAGTGACGTGCAGTTATTGGAATGAAAGTACATGTACCTCTTTCAAAGAAGAAAAAACACAAGCACATGTACATGATAGTAGGAATTTTTTTCCAAAATAGTTATATCTATACATTAATTTGAATTTCTGTTGAGTTCAATATTTGCTAAATTATTTTAAAAATTTATGATATAACCAGAACAACATTTCAGAATTTTAGTCATTATTTTAAATTAATTTATGTGATTAATTTGTAATCTATGGACAATTTACAATGCAAAAAAAAAAAACACTTGAAAATATTAAGGGTAGCATATCAATCTAATGAATTTTCATTTTTTTAAATCCTTTTCATATTCAAAATACATGATTATCCATTTTTTAATCAATTGTTACTTTTTATACTCAATTTAGCATGACAATCAGTAAATAACCAGTTGTTATTACAAATAAAACTTAAAAACAAAAAAAAAATCTTTGAAATCTTATTTTATTATACTGTCAGGAGTAGTTTTCAACAAAATAATCAAGATCTGCATTTCCTGAAATGGCAATTCTGTAACTCCACATTCCCAGCATGACACCTTGTGACATCATGACAAGTTCGTCTGCGTGTCCGTTGTCCTTTTCCACAGCTTTTACTGCAAGGACTCCATTTCGACCATGACCCATATCCTGTCCAAAGGAAAATCTTGAGCTAAAAAAGCTACATGTATAATTAATTCAATATACAATATTTAACTTTGGCTGATATTAGTACCTCCATTAGGATCAAAGTCATCCTCTTCAAATACAAGGCTCTCACGTTTTAGTCGATGAAAATTCTTTATCGGAATATTTTCCATTGTGGTGATTGAAAAATACTGTTTATCTTCTCCATCCATAGAATCTTTCTCCTGTTTATTGGAAAATATGTCTATGTATAAAAATCTACTATATGCCTTGTAAACCTTAAACTATTTAAAGCTAATAAGGACACACCCCACCCCCAACTTGACATCCATCTTTTGGCCTTAATAATTCGCATAAAGGGCGTTGGTGATCTGACATACCCAGCGAACAAGACAGTGATCTTTCATAAAATGTCATTAAAAAAAATAAACTTACCAATTGGAACTAAACTTATCAATTGGAAACCCATTTCATAATAATTATGATAAGTGGGCAAACGGTAATCATGCTCAAAGCAGGTCCGTAGCAACAGTAATTTACTGTCCAAATCATGAAATTTGTCAGTCCTCGGCCATATATACAGCAAAAAACGAAAAATGTACCCAGAAAAGGGGGGCCCCAGCGTTCTAATCTGGTAGCTCGCTGACCTGAAAAAAAAAATGGGATGGACGACCAGAGAGCTTCAGTGCCATCCGTCTCAAAACCGTGGTTTGCAACGATGCTGCAGACGGAGTTTATCTCTCAGTTGAGATGTGGTTGATTCGATACGCAAAAGCATTCTCTACGTATGAACAATTTCTAAGACAATGTAAGTTATAGGCAAACAAGTTAATTACACACCGAAGAGTCGACGGATTTTTTCGTTGTTTTCCATCATGACAAGGGGATGTTTACTCCTCCATGGCACCTGATCTCACCTTTGATGTTGTAGAGGTCCATGTTTGCTCTGCTCCTGATTTGTATTGTTTAATAGCTTTTTGAGCTTGAATAGTTCTTCATATATTTCATTCAACTCTGACATCTCTCTCTCTCTCTCATATTTCATTCAACTCTTGACATCTCTCTCTCTCTCTCTCTCTCTCTCTCTCTCTCATATATATATTATATATTTCATTCAACTCTGACATCTCTCTCTCTCATATATTTCATTCAACTCTGATCTCTCTCTCTCTCTCTCTCTCTCTCATACTTACACGACCTTCTTTGGTGTTTATTTCAGCTATCATCAATGCAAATACATACGCCGTAAAAAGCCAAACTGTAATATTTTTCTGGAAACAAAACAAGATGTATTCAGAACTTTCTTGTTCTTTGCTTAATTGTTAAAAACATATACATGTATTGCTTAACTGTTAAAAAAAACAAAATGATTTTTAAGAATTATCTGATGATTCTTTTCTTTGCTTATATTCTTATAAAAGCATTTTAGAAATTCTACATGCGCATTAAAGCATTTTTCAAAATTTCTTTATTTTTACTTAGCTAATATTTCTAGTATGAAAACAAGCTAATTCAGAGAACCTGTGCCCCCCCCCCTCCTCCGCTAAAGGAACAAGCTATAAACTTCCGAGAATCTGTGTCTCCCGTTAAAGTCGTATATGGCGTATGGCGTATTTATGATAAGTTCAGACTAACTTAAAATAATTTAATTCTGGTTGTAACGCTGCATTTGATTGGATAAAAAATTTACTTTATATCGTATAAAATGGGTTGCCTACGTCACAATGACTTTCGTCAAAAACGTATCAATCCGCCTGACGTTACATTCAAATTTTGTACAAACTGAAGTCATTTTGTTAGAACAATCATCTTTTTTTTTTCTTACACCAAATGAATGAAAATTGGATTATAAGGGATGAACTTAATAGCTGCCCATTTTATACGGTATAAACTGGGTTGGAACAATTTACGCTTTTTTATAAACCGCGAAGCGTAAACTGCCCCGACCCAGTTTAGAACATAACCTACTTATTCAGCCAATCAAATGCTTCCATTTCTAGCGAAGAATTCATTGAATTCTTCAATTTCTGAAAAATTCAACGGTGTCTGATTGGTTCACTTGACAGTTATTTGGGTGTGTCTTCATTGGTCTTTGTTCAGCACACAAAAAGAAACTATTCAAAACCCACGTGCTGCTTACAATGAAATTTAAAACTTTCTAGGCCTTGCTACACTTTTTTCCCACTGTAATCTTTTGTCGCCTTTTTCAATATAATTATTTTTTTTCACATTTCGGTACATACAGAAAATACAACCATCGTCATGTATATCAGAGATGAACCTTGTCTTCGAAAACAGATTTAATCACAATTTTCATCAAATTTTTATTTTATATTAGACAGCGATACCCACTCCTGCTGACTAGGGCCTTGTCATCTTAACACAATCATTTTTAAAAGATATAGATATGACGATTCTTGCTACATGGGTATTCATTAGTTCAGTAACTTTAATATATCTTCACCATACCATTTCCCCAGTAAATCGAGCTATTTCATGTAATCCCGTGCTAACCTGAATGGGTTGGGAGTCCATTCTGAAACCGCATGTGTTCGATATCGACTGCGTGCTCGAAATGAACAACGAGCGGTCAAGTTGAGCCTTATATATGACACAGCCGTGGGAGGAGTTTATTTTTAATCCATTAATCCATTCATTTGATTGGCTGAGGTTCTGTTCTAAGTCAGTAAGATCATATGAAGAGAAATCTTCGCTCCGCCCATTCTTCATGACGAAGATTTCTCTTCATATGATATTACTATTACTTATACCGTATAAAATGTTTTCTTACTTAATTAGTTCACAGATATCACAGATTTTTAAAAACAATAACCGAGTTATTTCCGACTCGGAATTAAATAGCAGACACAGTTTAAAGTCAATCTAAATACCGGGTATATAATAAGAAGAGCATGCTCGAAAGAAGAGGGGTTTAACCTTTTCGCTGCCGTACAGATTTGGAGTTCAAACGCACAGTGCCGTGACAGTTTTTTATTACGTTAAATCTATGACGTAACGTTACTGTGACGTCACAAACAAAGTTGATAAAGGTATAAAACGTTTTGCCTTTCGCTTTTTGCAGAAAATGGTTTAAATACAGACAATAAAGAATAAATTCTACGAAACGACAAGACCCTTCAAAAATACATTTACAATACAAGCAAAATTTATGCACAAATAATATATTTTCAGTAGATTAAGTAGGTGGGTTTTTATTATTTTTTTAATAAGAAAAATAATTTAACGTTACGTCAAGAACCTGTGGGTCAAATATATATATATATTGCATAATAATGAACGGAATACGAGTAAAATATAATATTATATAAATGGTGCCTGTTTTGGAGGGTAACAGTTGAAATTGGCACCCCAAGGAAAACCATTGTCAACCGACGCGTCAGCGGAGGTTGACAATGGTTTTCCGAGGGGTGTCAATTTCAACTGTTACCCTCCAAAACAGGCACCATTTATTTTATTATACTGAATGTCTTCTTGATTTCGGATGTCAGCAAAAAAAAATAAAATCGTTGATCGTCTTTACGTTCACGTTTAGAAAGCTTTCAAACTCCCCGCTACTTCGAAAAAGATTTACTGACCTCTTTGTTGTTAATTTGATAATGTAAGAGTCCTTTTTCATCAAAAGGTTCGTTACTTCTTGCACTCGCAAGCATGTTTCGTCTGTCGTTTGTTGTTTTCAAGTAAGCTACATCGGAGACAAGCTTTTATTGACGTCAAGTTTATTCCGGTTCTTTCAAACGCGCAACTGACGCTTTTAGAATTCTACGGTGAACCGTGCGCGCATAATTTCCACGCATGTGGCATTACCGTTGTGTTACCCGTTGTCACGTGTGTTGCTAAGGCTCAGGGTAATCGAACGGATTGTTAACTGCGTCTAAACCAATCAGATTTTAGTATTTAACATGAAAGTATAATAAAAACAAATGCATTGTAATTGGAACACAGTTATAAATACATGTAATTAACTATTCATAAGTTTTCCTGATTTATCGTTGTAAATTCTATCGTACTTCTTCATTCGTTCATTTCTGTTTATATTTTTTATCGTAGACCTCACATAATTAATACATGTATGTCAAATGTACCCAGCCCGTATATGCAGAACTGCATATAGCTCTCCGAAAATACATATTAATATACCGGTCTGTCAAAACATTTTTTCCTGAGAGCTACAGTTCTGCAACTAACGCGTCCTGTAGAAATGGTTTACAGGTCGATCGGACCCCCCCCCTTAAAAAAAACCTAAGTTGTTCTCAAAAATCCTATTTCGCGCGTATGTGTGTGATGGGCCGGGGGTGGGGTAACTTGGTTAACTTTTCCGAAAAAAAAAAAACGAGAACATTGCAGAAGTGTTTATGGGTGTGTATGGGGGGGGGGGGGAGGGGGTGGCAACTGATATCAAAATAAAGATTTTCTGTAAACAAACTAAACTCAGAAAAAGTTCACATTCCTTTGCAGACTCACTCCTTTCCCTGAACCACTTATATTGCTATGAATTGTGTTTTTTAAATTTGTTCACACGTTTATGTTGATCTTTTAATACTGTCACTTTTTCTAATCGTGTTCCTAAAAATATGTTACTTCGTATGTTTTCGTCCTCTTTTCACCCTTGACCGGATACTCGGATGCAATCTGTGGATTATTTGATTCGATCAAATAAAGAAGTGTAAACGTTTAGATGCATTAAATAACTTAGCTCATTATTTTTCTACAGATTTTATTAATTAAATCATGCCCATTTGCTTATGTAATAATTCTATCTCATAGTAAAGTAATATTTTTTGAAATATTGGTTTTAAAAAATACATCACCAAAAAAATCGCTCTCATAGCTGTTAGAAAATAAATAATATACTACTACCAGTTTTAGTAAAGCTGAGATCTCGAGAAAATCAAGATCTCAGAGGTATTTGCCCGGGGTGGTGAGTACTGTAAGAGTATACTCGTCCCAATTTCGACAGACATAATATCTTTCCTGTCCTTTGATTGTAAATACCTACCATAATTCTTCCATTAATTTAATAGTGAGATATGATCTAACAGGAGAAGCCAGCGAAAAAATTCTGACTCTGCCCCCCCCCCCCCCCGGGCAATTAAAATTGATAATTCGCGCCGAAAAGAAATTAAATCTCTGTTGGTCTTTCGAACAAACAGAATGGAAAGAATTCGATGGGAACATACGCATAAACATGCATGCAGAGGTTCTATGTCGTAGTCGTTTCTTGCAGAAAAAAGAGCCATAATTGTTCAATGGACAGGGCATACATTTAAGCGGTCTAGATCTTTTCCTGCAATTGGCGATGTCATGCACTGCATGACTACATGAATCCGAAAATCGAAGGTTTCTCTGTAAAGTTCATTGTCTCATGGACTTTTTTTTTAATTATGTGACATATATGAAATAAAGCCTTTTACTTTGTTATGCTCCTGAGGATGAAACTTTAAAACATTTTTAAAGTCCGTTAAAGAGTCGTTCAAGGATTTATGTAACAATATTAAACTTTTATAATATATCATGCCGATTAAAGATTAAATTATCTTTTTTTTTTCTTTTTTTTTAGAAATTACAAATGATATAGCATTACTACATGTAGTATTTCCACGATCAAAACATTAAGTTTTTATGAGTAATGGTAAATTATTCCCATTTTTTAAGATACGCTGAATATTTTTTTCTCCAAATGAATTTTGATTGCTTGCATCGTTTAAACGAAGATTGAAAATACTGACAAAGATGTATTATTTAAAATTAGAATGTACTATTTTCATTTTCTAATGACCAACACAAATAATATACTTGTTTAACATTCCTTCCTACATATATATTTTTTTTCAGTAGAAGAAAGGCTTTAATAATAGTTTCCTGTAGCAAGAGGCCAAAATGGCGCGAAACTCGGAATGATGACGTAACGTCATAATCAGTTTTACTTGTGACGTAAATGAGCTAACGGTAGGCCCAAAATAGGCCCTCGGCACTTAACGTAGTATTTGAAGATAGGCCCAAAATAGGCCCGCGGCACAAAGAATGTTAAAGGGGCACTTTAAGAGAGGGCAGACGGGGCCGCAGGAAGTAATAATACATATTGTTTTTGCAAAAGCTTTAAATTTTTTTGAGATAACGCTTGGAAATGAAAGTTCTTTTACGAACACACATAATGTATGATGTTACGAGCTTGATCTTTGACCTAGAAATAAAAACAGGTCTCGATCCCTAAACGGGCTTCTTTATTAGGCCATATTGAGTTGCTGTGTAAAATTTCGTTGTAAAAGCTCAAAAGCTTCTCGAGATATTACACGGAAACGCAAGTATCACAGGCA